TCAGTGAAGAGTTGAAGCTCAACAAACAACCACTTCAACTTAGTTATATATATATATATATATATATATATATATTCTAAATAAATATATCTATATGTGTTTGTGTGCTACAGTGAAAGCACGTGTTCATGCTTAAGTGTGTGTGCAAGTAGTTGTCCTTATTAATGTTTCAATTAATAAGCAATTCAGCGCTTTCAAGTATCTAGCACTTTCCCATTCACTCACTTAAATGTGTGTGTATTTCGGGGTAGGTGACACAAGTGCCGCTACAAATATGTTATATATGAAAGTAGTAAACATTTATGTGTTTGTAAGTAGTTTATATAACTATTTGCATGTGTGTGCGTGTATGAGCGACTCGCAATATGACTACGCTAAGTAGTTCTTTGCAACCGGCCCGGAAATAATTAGCGCTAAAATGAAATAGAGTCAGCTATTCAGACACCGTTACTCCGCATAGTCTATGCTGTATCGCATGTCATGCGCCTAAAAGCATGCTATTTAAAAATTCATTAAGTTCTAATTGCATGCAAGCCATTTCATGGAAAATGAGTTGCCACTGCACAAAAGTGGGTGAGTGTGAGAAACTACAGTTGCTTTGTGTGTGTGTGTGTATGTGTCGCAATTCACACAGATACACCACACATACACTCAGGTTCACTTATAAACATGTATACGTGTATAAATAAGCGTGTTGTTAGTAAAAAGTGGAATAGTAGTTGCAGTTCGTCTGAAATAGATAGCGCGCTTGTTTATTTTATTTGAGCGGCGAGTATATTAACATGCATAGATATCTTTATATAAACATATTTACATACATACATACACATATTGCTGATGATAAGCGCTCGCTGCACTTATATTTCGTTATTAAAATTCAACTGGCTTTGAATTTCACGCGACGTGCTCTTTATTCTCTTTAGTTGGCTCAAAAGTAAAGTTACAAAAACAAAACAAAAAGCGATATTTCATAAAGTACACAAAGAAACACAATTTTGTTGCATCGCTTAGCTGTCAAAGGGTAAAATGCTTTTATTGTGCGCTTTTCCGGAAATTTCACTTTTATATTGTAGAAAAATATCGCTTTTGTAACGAAAGTGCATAACCCAGTGAGTAAGTTAGTGATATCAATCACCTAAATTTATTATCTAAAACCACTTTAAAGTCCCAATAACAGCTTTTTATCATTTCTCTAGTTGTTTATTATTCGTCAGAACATCCCTAGTTCCCATAAAAAACCTCGTTTAAGGTCTTGAAATGCGTCTCTTTTAACTCAGTTGCGTAAAACTCGATTCCGTAGTACTAGAAAAGTTGGGTAGCTCTAGTCGAAATAGGTCTCGTAGGTTAACGTTCTTATAAAGATCATAGAGTATACAATTAAAGTAATTTTGCTGAATTGATCATTCAAGTCGCTGTTGGTTTCAGGAATGTGGTGAAACATCAATCAATTGCCGCTAAACTTTTCTCTTGAAGTCTTTGAGTGCTTTCAATAGCAAGATACTGTTATTTGACGAATTATGCGACCGAAACGAATTAACGCTAATTTTTGAGTTAGACTAATACTTTTAATTTACTACAATTGATTTAAAATGTATAAGTTTTGCTTGTTTCTTAGGAGTCTTACCTAATGTAAAAATTCGAAATTTTTATATTTATTTATTCATACTTTCATAATCTACTTAGTCGTGACATAAATTCTGTTCACAAAAAAAGCGCCATAAGAAATTAAAGCACAAGTCAAATTTTCGAACTTCTCAAAAAACTTAATATTTTGAGAATGTTTGTTTACCGCTTTATTGATCGTTTTGACCAAACATTTTTACATTTGATGACAGAAAGTGAGATCCTTATGTGTTTTAAATCAATACAGCTATAAAAACTGTTCGCAAACACAATTGCATAAATCGCCGTAGACCAGCTCAATGTCAAGACTTATTTGAAATCATATCCACATAAAATTCTACCGCCGCTCAACTGGTCATTTTCTGACAACGAGCTTGAAACAAATTATGCTCAATAGATGCAAGCTTCTTCCTCAGTGGAAGAAGTCAGTCATGAAAGTATTCCAATTACAGGTGAAAAATTAATCCAAGGATTCAACATGGTCAACATTTAGCTACTGTAGTGGTTTAGTGGGGAGTTTTCTAAAAAGGCGTTACATTTGTTCGGTTCTGTGAAAAAGGAAATATTCCTGGTTTTAAAGCTGCAGATGAACGGCCATCTGGAAGTCCAGATTTTAATCTACTGGGCTACAGTTTGTGATCACAGTTGAGGAATATGGCCTTTCGAATACCTCACAGAAATTTGGTGAGTCTCAAAAAATCTTCGATTCGAGCAGCGTCGCTATAGATCAATGGCCTAATCATTTGAGGGCTAATGCAAAAGCGAAATAGTGGCATTTCGAATAAAATTTTTTTGCATCGCTCGCTTAATAAATGCATTATTAAACTGATTTAAATCTATTGTACTAAAAAACTTGTTATAGATTAATTTTTATAATGACCTTAATATTGTAACAGAACTTATGTCAGGACTATAAATACCTTAAAAAACAATAAAAATAAATTTTAAATAATTATTTCATATACTTTTGAGTTGTAAAATATAAATTCTTATGATCCTTCGAACTTTAAATAATGTTTTTTCATTGATTTAAAAATCAAAACAGAAAGAAAGAAAAATTCAAATTTGTTTAAAATAGTCAAACATCAACAGTTAATATCTTTTACCATAAACTGTTAGATTTACGAAAAACCCACAACTTCAATTTCTTACAAAATTTATAAAACGAGATATTTTTTCAAGAAGTTGGAAGCAAGATGTGCATTTTTCTATCTGATAATAAGACAAAAAAAACTAGAAAGTCGTAAAGCGGAGGACCTTCTCGTTAAAATTAAGAGCTTATACTTGGAGTGCCTTTCTTAGAGGTGTCTATCAACCAATTTTTCAGAGTACGAATGTTTTGTTTTAACCACCCTAATAACCTCTAAACTTTCCTTGAAAAAATTTTACCCTTTAAGTTTACAGTAGCTTCATACACTTTGTAATAAAAATAATTAAATTAATACTAGGCACAATACTTCGTTAATTATAAACAAAAAACTCTTTTTGGCAAGATTTGATATTATCATTCGACAAAGCTACCACCGAAGGCGGTACCTCAACTAAAGCGATTTTCTAACATTTCCATACCATTTTAGTAAATCGAATAGTTTGATATAAAAACAAGTTGAAGCCCAATGAATGCAATGTAATCATCAAGTGTACATCGGTCGATTTTGACCCACATTCAATATTCAAATATTTATGAAACTTTTTTTTTAACGTTTTACAACGCTACATCCTTGTTTGGGAAGTGAGTTCATCGTCTTCAGTGGTACAGCTTCAAAAGAGAGCAGAGTTAAGAAAATTATTAAAAAATGGTTGCTGTTTCACTTTTTGGTTTCGTTTCAGCTGAATTAAGACATCAAATCATTAAGATATCTTTTATATAGATTTTTTCTAAAACTGATCATGTGTGTGTCTTAGGTAAAATATCTTATACACTGCCTAGTTCTATAAGTGATCAGGTGTGTGTCTTAGATAAAATATATGCAGTGCTTAGCCTAATTGTAGGCAATTTTTTATATTCAACTCTTTCTTCCACCCAAAGCTGAGTTCTATGTGGGTAGTTATGACTTCAGTTTAATATTATCAGATAATAGATAATTTCTTTACTGTATCTGCGGTATTTTAAGCCCTAAGTGCAAAGCCAATAACTTCGAACAATATGTTTATTATTAAAAGATCTCACTTGCATTTCAAACCTTAACACATACGAGTATGTGTTTTGAAATTCTTAACGTTTCATTTATGTGTGGATATTTTTTCAAATCGCTAACATATTTTCGTTTGTATATACATACATTTATAGGCGAGATTTTCTGGATTAAATACACGCGTCTTGCAAAAATATTTCGCATGCGAAATTTCAGTAATGCAAGCATACAAGCGCACAAGTACAACAAAGCAAATCATACTTTATGCCACAGCAGACACAAAAGCAACAAAACCGCTCAAGCAAACCAAAGCATTCCCGGAACCTAAATACTGAGTGGCTGTGGACAAAATTTCTGTGCGAATGCAAATGTTTGAGCGTTTATAAATCGCTTTATATGACACACTGTAGCACGGCATATACATGTACTCTTGTATATACATGCTTATACAATATATAAATGTGTGTGTACATGTTTGTGTCTGGGGCTGTGCTTGCAAAAGTTTTTTCTGTCATTGCTTCGTTTGCCTACAACCAGCTGCCGCATAAATGTTTAGCATACATTACGGCGCTTAGGTTAAAAGGCAAAGCGCACACAAAATTCGAATATGCAAATGTTTGTGCAGACCGACAGACAGCCGAGCCGTGCTGCGACAAAAATATTTGCCTACTAAACTGGTAAAGCTTTGACGCCGACGCAGCTGCGTCTAGACGAAAGCTCTTGCTCAAAGCAAGCTGCAAAGCATTCCCGCCTCGAAGAGTTACAAGTGCAGCGCAGAGAGTTAGGCTGCTCTTCCGCTTTGTAAGAGCGCATTTTCGGAGTACTCCGCTTAGCTAAGCGCGTTCGCTATGACGCTCAGTTGGCATACTTTCGAAGAACGAGCGCCAACAACGAAGTCATTCTTCGAACACGAGCATGTGCTGCACCTTACAACACTTTGTGTACAACAAATTGTCTGTTTTTAGGATTTAGAAGCGACCGCTCACATACACACCCACACACATACAAGAGCATTTTTTCGAAATTGTACATATCTCGTTACATGACACATCACAGCTCAAATTGAGCATTCGTACAATACACTGAGTATCTCAGTTGCTCCATTATTTTGTTTTGAATTTTTTCATCGAAGTTCGAATTTCGCAATTCTCATGCGTTACATGCGTTCGAAATAATCGAAATCGGGTATACTTTGTAAGCCATTGTCGTCGTACTTAAGGCGCGCGCCTAATATTATACAGCACACAGCGCAGCGCACAGACGTAATGCCGTCAATTGGCAGCTAGCAAGCGAACACGGTCAGCATCCAATGGGGCGAGCGAGTTTCGTGTGCTACATGCATGCACATGAACAACGACGACAACGAAGTGCGAGCAATCGCGTTGCCAGCAGACGTGTCGCAACTAGTTTCATTTGAACTGTTGCCCGGTGAGCACACACATTGAGCGTGACGTTGTGTCCGTCGGTAATTCGATAGTGTGTGTGTGTGTTGGTTGGTGTGCGCGTTTGAACGCGTTGTAAAATGCGAAACGGTTTTGTGGAGTTTTTCGACTCACACAAAAATAAATATATGAATAATTAAACAAAAGCAGCAATATGCAGAAATAACAACAAAGTAATGCAAAAAATACATTTAGTGCGTGAAAATCGTTAAAAACAACTAAAAATATTGCCTACCTTTCGGCGTTGAAACGGCTGTAATGTTAAATTTCAAGCAAGTGAGTAGTGTAGTTGAGCAAATATCCATTTAAAATTCTCACAAATAGTTATTGGTGTATGCTTAAATATATAATCTCACCTAGAGTCGCACATAAATATCTAACGTACCACGGCGCTTGTGTAAAAAATTGGGCTAGGCTGCCGCGTCAGCTGTAGTCATCTGCCTCTAAAAGCAGCCAGCACTTGGCTATGTGCTACTTTTAGCCACTCGCTTGCCTTTTCGCAGCATTATTTTGTGTTTCCAGCCTTGCTGCAGTTTTATTTTGCAAAACACCTACACATACATGTAAAAATATATATATATACAAACACGACTGTTCAAAGTTTACGCTCGTATATAGTTGCATAAATTACAATTTCCGCTTTAACATTACTTACTTACTGTTGTTAGTTGTGGTTGTTGCCTTCCTAACGGAACCTTAAAGCATTAAAAGTTAGTGAAAGCGTAGTGTACGTGCAACGCCTGCAGGTATGCTTCGTAAACAGTGAAAACTTGTACGCATTGTCTGCCAGTGAAGGCATTTCAATTGAATTATTGTGGGTGAAATGCAAACAAACGAAAGTGAAAGTGTGCTGCTGCTATGCGTGGCAGTTGGAGGGTGGTACATAACTGTGCATTGCTAGAAACCATTAAATTGCTGGCATGCGGTTATGTGTATGTGTGCAGTGAAGCGTAAACGTGGTATTTTAATTTCGAATTGTGTTCCTCTGGCTGATAATAGTTAGTAATATTTGTATCTCTCTGGGTGAAAATGTATAGTGAAATTTTAAATATAATATATATAAATATTTAATAACTAGTATTTTGGCAAAAGCAATATCTTTTAACAAAAATACATATATGCGCATAATTTATTAAAATATAAATATATTGTAAGGCAAACCAATTCAAAATTTGTGCTATGACAGTTAATATTAACGTTAGCTGTATGAAGGATACTGATTTTGTGGCTATAGAAACGTATGTATGTTTCACATATTTCGCGAATTATACATTGACTGGTCGCTTAAATTGTAGTAGAGAATATGGAGACTTAATATTCACAAAAGCAAAAATACTTATGTATAAACTTAAATACGAAATAATTTTTTTATAAAAATTATGACCAAAATATACATTAATTTTATTATAAATAAATAATTTTGTAAAAACAATAACATTGTACAATATTTATATTTGTATTAAGGATGTATTCTAGTCTACAGACATGAACTTTATGAATTTTTTGAACTGTCGTAAATAAAAGGCAATCAATATTTTTACATAGATTTTTTTATCAGTTATTTATTAATGTTACAAGAGTACAAGAAAACAAATAAAAAAAATTAAAACTTTTAAAAACTAACAGCTGATGAAGTGGGGAGTCTCGAAAATTTGCACATGAGCATACCCATGATTTCAACCCTCCTAGTCATCTGAAATGAAAAAAAAAATATTTTCCATCTGCATTGGTGTCGCAATTGTATGAACATAGCGAGAAGCAAAAAATGTTTTTTTTTTTTGGCAAAATGGCGATTGTTTGAAAAAAATCTATAGTTTTTTTACTTTCTCGTATTTTTTTAACAATAGTAAAAACTAAAATTGGGGGATAAGGCTAGTTCATACCTGAGAGAGGTCTATAGAGAAGATTCTCTGAAAATATCAAGTCAATCGGTCTAGTAGAACTCGAGCAATTGTGGGTATCGTACTGAAATGTCTGGCCTGAGAAAAACGCATTCAAAAATTCGCGTAAAGTCTTTTGTTTAATTAGACCCAGCCGAATCATTTTGGAGGCCGGGTCTGTAAAATATCTATATCTCCGAAAATAATCTAAATTTTCAAAAGTACTCTCGTAGACACATTTTTTAATAGTTAAACTTTAATAATATGAAAAAAAAATCGATTTTTTTTGAAATTCTACACTAGAATACCCCCTTAAAGAGTAGAACTTATTTAAAGAAAGAGGGTCTCCGGTTATTTTAGTTCACCTTAAATAGAACTTTTAACACCTGTCTGAAAGAAAATGTAGAATCTTCTCAAGTAATGTAAATATATTTTGTTTCAATAGGTAACAACTGTAAGGAGAATTTTTAAGAAAGATTTTTGAAAATATAAAATTGTTGTTTAATTCTCTTCTTATTTCATGATTCTCTTCTTATTTAATCATTGCTAATGAATACAGTATTTAAATTTTTAATAAACAAAATAATAAAACAAAGACTGGCTTACAATTAGGCCCCCTCACATTAGAATGGGAGAAAGTTTAAAAAATATCAAAAAAAAACCCCAAATTTATTATATATACAAAATAAACACTATTATTTAGTAAACCGTTATTATGCACTTTTGAGTACTTATTATACATCTTCAAAGTTTCTTTTTTCACTCTTAATAAAATATTATTGCTTTACAACAAAGAAATCTTCAACAGACTTGAGTACTGCAGATAATATTTAAAAAAATTTAGAAGAAATTGGCATGTGCTTCATCTATTAAAATGTAGAATTGTTAAAAGCAGCATCCTGGTTTTATTTTAAGCAAAAATTAAGACAAGCAAAATGCAAATGACCACTTTTGATACATTAACCTGAAATTTCGTTTACAATTGCCGAAAATAATTACTTAAATGGCAAAACTACAATAAGTTCATTTTAAAGCAATTTCTCCATGCAACCCTAACCGCAAAAGCAGCTTAAAGTTCCATAAAGAGTGTAAGCAAAATAAAAAATATACATAAATATATTAAAGATATTTAGTATTTTAGCAGCAAGCTGAATTATTGTAAACTATGAAATTGCTACATTTTTGCAATAATAGTAAATTATAATAAGGTTTTGTCTCTATCCGAGATTAAGTGACGGTGACAAGTAACCATTACTATATAATCTAATATATTATTTAATAATTAGTACGAAAGTACAAAAACATCTTGAAAGAATACTTAAAATTTTAGTTAAGATCCAAACAAGGCAAGCAAATGCACATATATTTTTTTTCATATCATTTTTACGGCAATAATGGATATTTGCGATAATAATTATGTTTATCATAACCAAAGGTATGCTACGAATAGGGTGTATTAAGTTTGCCACGTAGTCTGTAATACCTAGAAGGAAATCTGCAGATTATATAAATAAAATATATATATAAATGGTTAGCATGACGAGTGAGTCAATTGAGACATCTTCGTCTGTCCGTCTGTACATACGTGAACTAGTCCTTCAGTTTTTGAGATATTAATATGAAAACGTCCACACGTTCGTTTCTCTCCATAGAGCTGGTTGTTGGACGGACTTGCTGATATCGGATCACTATAGCATATAGCTTCCATACAAACTGACTGATAAAAATTAAGTTCTTGTAAGGCATTTTTTATACTATTGTAGGGTATTAAAATTTAGGTGCAAGTGAAGTAAATGTCTTTTCATCTTTTTTATAATTTTTGAATACATTTTCTAACGAGTTTCGGTTTTTTTTTATTTCCTTTTTTTATGAAAATCTTTGGTTATTTGTCATTGATTTTTCGTTTTTTGGACTAGTAAATAGTGTTTAAGATCATATCAGTATGAGAAATAAAATCACCATCAAAACTTTACTTGGAATAATCATTGCTCAGTTGCTCTAAATCTTAATTTAGTAACGATGAATATCTTTAGACATCAGTTATTGTTATTTAGTACAAGACTATCAATAAACTTACATTTTTTTTCCAATTCAAATCTTGCTTAGCAATAGAAAAATTAAAAAAAATTTATTTTCTCGCAATCTCTCACTTCTCAGTTCTATTTTTTTTAGCGTGTGCCAGCATTTCGAAATACCATCTTTTAGGAGTCGATTTTTTTCTTTTGCATTAAGGAAGCGAGTTTCTCAAGACATCACATATAATACAGGCACTTTAAAAAACCCTACGCAGTCAGGTGAGGAGCATTTTTGGGATCTCTGAATTTAGATGAGTGGTAAAAGGGCCGTGAGAATTTACCTTTATATTATATCTGGAAAATATGCAGAAATTCTTCGGAGCTATGTTGAAACTTACTCTCATTTAAAACCTCGAAAATAACCAAGTACATAGTAGATACAAGTAGACGATAATAATTAAAAATTTTACAGAAAAATTCCATGTATTAGGTTTATAATTAGGTTTATTGTTAGGTTTATAATACATGGAATTTTTCTGTAAAATTTGAATTATTATCGTCTATTTGTATCTACTATTTATACGTCAATAAAAAAGTTTGAGAAATTGAAAGTGACGATTTAGCTTCCGAATTCATTGGCGGGATGTCTTATGTTTTAAATCTGAATAATAAACTGGAGGAATTGAATTTTTTATGCTAATAATATAAATATTTAATTTTCAAGCAATACACTTTCAATACAAAATCCACATACTGATTCACACATACACAGAAATTCATGTAGGCATATACTTGTAGCATTCGAGACGAAATAAAAATAAGCTACCGACATTTGACGAATGATGAAACCAAGATACCAAAATCCACAGAAAAACGACCTTTCCCAAAACCACACCCTATCTCGAAGCATGGGAGCAGAATAAACACAACTCAAGCGCAACAACACAAAGTGACAACATTAAGTACATGCCACTTTATATGGTAGGCAGGAAGCGAAAAGCAAAACCGTTATAAAAGTTTAATTTCGTGCTGTCAACATAAAGAAACCCCGAAATCGTTTGACAAATTCATGAAATATTAAGAGGTGAATAAGCATATGTTTCGAATGACTGCTCAAAAACATTTGACAGCCGACATGACAACTGCTTCCATGCTAACTGTTTACCATTTTTTCTTGTTTTTTTTATTGTTTTTATTTATATTTTACTTTTTAATTTTATTTTTACTGCGCCTCATGATAAGGATCTTATCGGTTTTCATAACTGCTAAAACGGCCCTAAAAGTATGCAATAAAAAATTTTGAGTACTCACTACCTAAAGGAAATGCAAAAGTAAAAAGGATTACAACAAACATAAGTATACAAACGATTGACAAAACAGA